CTCTGTTCCAGCTTCGTTTGCTCCGTTTCTGACCTCTGCTTCAACTCCGGCCTATTTCTACCATTCCGTTGGTTTCTAAAACTAATCTTAGGTGTCATATTAATACCTAGTAGCATCCCAATGGCTTGATAACAACAATTAAAATCAATTACAGAGATTAAATTTTCTACCGAACTAACACGCGTTAGGAACAAAAATGAAACTATAGTTCTATTCCAACCCCTCTGTTCCTCTTCACAAAATGGTCTTAGGAGTCTTATATCATCCCATTAACATCCCCATGGTTCCTTTACAGAAGATAAAAGCAAGAATAGTAACTAAAATCACAACAGATTTTAACATGCTTTAATGAACAGAACTGGGAGCAACCATAAACGAACTGTAAACAGATTTGAATTTAAGGCAAACAGATCATCAACAAAGCATATTAAACACATAAGTTTCAATTACTAATTATTTAAACCCTAGAGGCTATCTAGGTGCACAGAACACGAGCCAAAGGGAAAGAGGAAGATAAGAACTTGCCTGTGATTTCAGTTATGAAATCCCGGCATCGTGTCCACTGTTCTGGCAACACCGAACTACTGTCAAGCCTCCTAGTACTCTAAGATAATTCACCACAATCCTTCCTTGGTCCTCTCCGATTTCCTCCTTGCCAATCCTTATAATGCTCTGTTCCTCTGCCCTCTGTTTTTACAGAACAACTCTACGTGTATATGCTATGCGATATAACGTAAACCCTAGGCTTATAGCATAATGGTGTATTTATAGGCTTAATACTAAAACCCTAATCCTTGTCATAAAAGAGATAGAGCCCTAAACTTAATCCTAGTCGGCTCATAACAAAACCTATGATTAAATTCTATGTCGGCTACACCAGACAACGTCCCAAAAACTATAAATAAAAACTTAATATATTTAAAACTCACGTAGTTTAATTCACAAAAGAAATCCAAAAAAGTCAATAAATGCAAACAAACAATTTCAATTAAATCAATATAATGCAATTAATTCAATTAATACAAATAATGTCAAATAAATCATCTAAGGCAACTAAAACAAAATTAAAACAAAAATAAACAATTAACAAACAAAAATGCACCTAAATAATTAATTAAAAATACCAGGACTATCCTTTTAAAATTAGGGGTATTACAGCCTCCAAAATGATGAAGCCGGCTCCAAACATGTTGGAGCCACCTCCAACCTTCTTTGAGCTGGTTCCATGATTCCATGGAGCCGCCTCTTCTTTCCCCTCTCTCCCTGGTTGCTTGTTTCGTCTCCGGTGATCTCCATTGTTTCCGTTCCTCTCTGTTACAGCCTCTAACGCTTTTAATTATGTTTTAACTGATTAAACTAAGTCCTAGGGTGATCCAGAGTTAATTTAATTCATTACTTATTAACCAAAGTCAATTGGAACAAGAATTTAGCAAAAACAGTTTCTAAGTGGATTAAAACTCATACAAGAACACATTCTGTTCAAGTATCTAACCCTGTGCTCCAGATTAATTTTAAGATTTCCTAATATGTTTTAGAACTAATAAAATTCTTAATCCATCAATTGACTTCCTTTAAATCATGAATTATGTAAAACAAAACTGTAAAACAACCAAAACTGTACAACGAACAATTAAACAATTCATGAACATATGTTTATTAAACAATGCAAGCATGTGAACCAAATTGATTTTAAACCTTTATCTGTTCCTGGAATTGAGTTAGAGATGCAAAGAATACAAGTCAAAGGGATAGAGTTAGTGTAAAACTTGCCTGTGAAACTTGGTTCAAAAATCTCAACGTCTTTCTCCTAAGCTTTTTCGGCGATCCTTTGTTTTCCCTCTCTATTCTCTCCCAGACTCCTTTATGCTTCTCTCTGTTCTCTTTATGTCGTGAATAGGGTTCTAAAACCCTAAACCGAACGTACGACATATATTTATAGGTTTACACCAAAACCCTAGCTTAACTAAACCCTAAACTGAAAACTCGGTCCATGGAAAACCTAGTTAATGTTTAGTTATGTCGGCTACCTACATGACCTCTAAAAACCTAATTTAATAAAACACATCTAACGTAATTTATAATTAAGTCAAATAAAATAAAATAAATCCAATTCAACAACAATTAAAGCAAAACAATTAAATAGAACAACAGAAAACCAAGTCATTAAATAATTTACAACCAATTCACAATTAAATCACCAAATTCTCAATTAAATAAATTAAATCGCAATTAAACAATTAAATAAATACCCAGACTATCCTTTTAAAATTAGGGGTATAACAATAACAGTGAATTAAATTGGTTCTCCTTTGGCCTTGAACACCAGTAAACCTTCACCTCTATATCCCCAGAATACACAAGTTTGTAGAAACCCTATATCTCTCACTCTCGTTATTCTGTTTTCTATCAGATTGTATATTCTCGAATAAGAGAGATATATCATGTATATAGATGGGGTTAGAGATGAGGATCAAAAGGGATTCTTATCCTAACTTCAATTAAATAGAGATAGAGTTATCTCATAACTCTATTCTATCTAATTAGATAGAGATAGAGTTATCTCATAACTGTATCCTATCTAATTAATTACAATAAGCACCGCAATCATATTGTAATTGCACTCTCGGATTTAGAAATTACAACAAGACCCTGTTATACTAAATAACTACATATAAGTCCCTTCACTACCGAATATCCATAAGTAACCCCAAGGAAAATAAATACTGTCCCACCTAAGGCATGCTTCCTTCTTATATTCCTTGAGTAACCAATTTAATCCTTATAATCACTGAATTTCTTTTATAAAAAAAAATTTCAAAATAAATATTTTTCTAAATAAATAATAGAAAAATAATTTAGTAAACATTTTACTAAAATGTCCTTTCCAGGTTCTAGTGATCAAACTTATTAAATTGTACCAAGGGGATATTCTAACTCTTATAAAGAGTGTGGATTCCATGTTGAGCATTTGTGTTCCCAGAGCTCCAACATTAGCCACCCAAGATACTATGGTATTTATCTTAAAGGATCTCACATGTTGGTAAGTCAAAGTGACCAATACTGAAACTTGAGTCCACTAAACCTCTGAGGATTTAAAGCTTAATATGTCTAATAGTTAAGAATCACACCAAAATAATAACAGTAATTTGTATGGTATGATCTTACGGTGATCCAGTTCAGTGTACCCCAAGTACACCAACACACTGCCTTAGAGTCAACTACCCCAATGATCAAGACAAACCATTCTATCTTATAGAGGTCAAATGTGTTACAGTCTTATAGATAAAAGTACCCAACTTTTATCACTGACTGCGAACAATGCCAAGGTGCAAGAAACCGGTGAGCCAAAATCTCCTGCCTGTAAATCTCATTTACACACTTAAGTCACCTATAATGCAACCTGAGGATAATAATGCATCTCATGCAAATATATGTAAAGCCCAATACATGAATATCATATTTATTAATAAAATATCGAATTAATAATAAATAATTGGCTTGTAGGGCATATAATCCCAACAGTATACTATTACACTGTTAATGTTGTAGGTAGATGATAAAGAAGGAACTGTGTATGTAACTTACACGACTACAAATGTAACTTTTTTACTCTTTCTTGAATTTCTGATGGAATTTTTGTGGCAAAGTACTTCGATGTTGGAGAGAAGAATTGGAAAGACGTACGATTGGCTCAAAAAAATGAATGTAACATTTTTGGCAAGTGTGGTTCGTTTGGAAGCTGCAATATGCAGGATTCACCAATTTACAAGAATATGGAGGAATGGAGTAGAGGAAACATTTGCAGTGTGAAATCATAGACAATACATCTCCTTTATATATACGCGCGTGTATCAAACATGGCAGGTGGAGGTGGAGGTAGAGGTGGAGGTGGAGGTGGAGGCGGAGGAATCAATAAGAGAAGGGATTGAATCACTGTCATGGTTTGGATTATAAAGCCAGTTACCCTTTGTATGTGTGCAAATAATAAATATGTAAATAAATAATTTTTTATTAGCCTTTAAAACTTTGAAACATTTTATTGTAACTCCTTTAAAACCTGTTTGGTTTATTTTTATTAAAATAATTTTCAATAACTAATAACTAAGAATTTTTTTTTTTTTTTTTTTCCTTACTTGACAAATTAGGGAGCTTGAATAAGGCGCGAGCTCCAAAAGTTGGATGTTGTTCTATCAAATGGGAGCAAATTATCTGATGTGCCATTGCAATGAAGTTCCCTCGTGTTTGTTTTACTTGACTAACATTTGATCACACGGGTCTTTGCTTCAACTTGAGACCGCGTTTGGTTGGATGCCACAATTACAAAAGTGAAGAATGTTGACTTATTTGGTACTACATTCACCCTAAAAATAGGGAATTTACATAATGTTCAATAACTAATGTCACAAATCAATAAAAAATACTTGATGTTTAGCAAAATAATGAAAAGAGTCATAGCTTCTTATTTTTTTCCATGTATACAAGACTCGATTGACGTGAAGTGGCTATATATATGTTGACCAGTTGGGGGCTTTCGGTCGACATCTGGTCCTTAGGCGTTGAGTGGTATATCCAATTTTTTGTATTAGATTAATGTGTGACATTAGTTATTGAACACGTAAATACTTTCTTTTGATGGCGAAAGTGGTGAGTGTGGTTTTTATTTTTATTTTTTTTACATGACTCGGTCGACGTAAAATGGCAACACATTGACCAATTGGTGGCTTTCGGTCAATATCTGGTCCTTAGGCGTCGACCGGTATCTCTAATTTTTTGGATTAGATTTATGTGTGACATCAATTATTCAACATTATGTGAATACTTTATTCTGAAGATGAAGGTGGTGAGGGAGTAAGCTATATTGTGTAATTATCGCATCCAAACGCGATTTCAATGACACTTAAATAAATAAGGGCGTGATCAAATATAAACCAAATAATATGCACCATGGGACAGCAGGGCAAAGTAACCTAAGAGGATTCGCACCCATATCAAATAGGGTAATGCCTTAGAGCTCGAGAAATAATAACTGTTTAATTAAAAGTTAAAACAGAAAAGGCCGTTATTCTCACCATTAACCAAACATATTTTTATATAATTTTTAATTATAAAATAAAATAGAAAACTATTGTCATAAAACAGAACCAAAGAGTCTTGAACCTCTTTCATAATCTGGTGCGATTGCGTAAGTATGAGAAGAGATACAAGCCGAACACCCTCCATCTCAGAAAAAAGAAAACAAAATAGTTCATAATTTCCTTTTTTTTTTCTTTCCTTTTCCTCTCTTGTTTAAAGCCCAAACTATTCATTCCTCCTCTTTCCTCTTCTCCTTCTCTTCTTTAGAGTCCCCTTTGTGGTGTTCATTTTCCCTGTGCAATACGTTGATGGGTTTGTTTGAATCTATTGCCACAGTTACATGCATTCCCATTTGGTCCACATTACATCTAAGATCACAGCTCTAGCAAGATCAGGTCGCATTGCATTGGCACGTAAACTGTTCGATGAAATGCCGCACCGAGACTCAGTTGCTTGGAATGCAATGCTCAGTGGATATTCTCAACTGGGTCTGTACCCCGAAGCACTCTCTCTGTTCCACCACATGAGAATCACCAACGCGAAGCCCGACCACTTCTCTTTCACCGCCACTCTGAGTGCGTGCTCTGGTGCTTGTGAGCTCCATTATGGACAAAAAGTTCATGCCTTGGTTATTGTTTTTGGGTATTACTCTTCATTGCCCGTGAACAATTCGCTTATTGATATGTATGGGAAGTGTTTGAGTCCTCATAGTGCCAATATAGTCTTTGAGGAGATGGGCTTTTGGAATGAAGTGTCGTGGTGTTCGCTCTTGTTTGCGTATACGAATGCTAGTCTATTTGATGTTGCTCGTGAAGTTTTAGATGCTATGCCAAAAAGGGTGTGTATTGCTTGGAACACTATGATTGCCGCTTATGCTAGATTTGGGAAAATTGAAGTGTGTTTGGATTTATTCAAAAGAATGCTATATGTTTCCTGTGAGCCGGATCAGTGGACATTCAGTGCCCTCATGAATGCGTGTGCTGAATCAGGAGAATGTTGTTACGGTCGCATGGTGCATGCATTTGTTTTCAAGAGTGGTTGGGGCTCTGCAGCAGAGGCAAACAATTCAATTCTTAGTTTTTATGCCAAATTAAGTTGCCAGGATGATGCTGTGAAGGTGTTTGAGTCCATTGAAACTCTAACTCAGGTGTCGTGGAATGCAATTATCGATGCCCATATGAAAACAGGAGACACGCATGAAGCATGCCTTGTTTTTCAGCAGGCGCCCGAGAAGAATGCTGTTTCATGGACATCTATGATAGCTGGGTATGCAAGAAATGGGCATGGAGAGGAAGCCATAAGCTTCTTCGTTAATATGATGAGAAATGGTTTCCAACCGGACAGTTTTACATTTGGGGCTGTTCTGCTTGCATGTTCTGATTTGGCAACATTAGGACACGGTAAAATGGTCCATGGTTGTGTAATTCACCATGGTTTCCATTCTTATGTTTATGTTGGCAATGGCTTAGTTAATGTGTATGCTAAGTGTGGGGACATAGAAGGTTCGAGCCGAGCCTTCAATGATATTCTTTACAAGGATATCATCTCCTGGAATACAATGTTGTTTGCATATGGGTTGCATGGATGGGCTGGCCAAGCTCTACAGCTTTACGAAGAAATGGTTTTATCCGGTATCAAACCAGATGAAATGACCTTCATTGGTTTGCTGATTACTTGTAGCCATTCAGGTCTTATAGAGAAAGGTCGAGCTCTTTTTGAATCAATGAGTTCAGTGCATGGGCTTTCCCCCAACATGGATCATGTCACATGTATGGTTGATATGCTTGGCCGAGGAGGGTACTTGGAAGAAGCAAGAGAATTCGCTAATAACTACTTGGGAACAGGTACAGCGAAGATCAGCTCACTTGAAGCTCTTTTCGGAGCATGTACAGCACACGGAGAAGTGAAAATGGGGGCGAGGTTAGGGGTGGATTTGAAGGTTTTGGAGCCTCGGAATGAGATGAATTTCGTGCTGTTGTCGAACTTGTATTGCGCCAGTGGGCAGTGGAAGGAAGCAGAGGTAGTTAGGAAGGCAATGGCAGATGAAGGGGTGAAGAAGCTGCCTGGTTGTAGTTGGATTGAAGTGAGAAACAAGGTGATGGCTTTTGTGTCTGGGAGGCATTCACATCAAGACCTGGAAGAGTTATGTCCAGTACTTCAGTGCCTCGAATATGAAATGAGAAACCCATGCTCTATTTTTGTGGGGATGGAAGAATTTTGAAAAAGAAAAATTTCACTTTAAAAGGGTTCGAATTTTACTAGAGAGAATTAATATTTGAAAGTTGAGTATCTTTATATAAGGTAAATATTTGTTTTAAAATTTAATCCAAGTGTACTCTTAAATTTCCCTTTAGGGTTAGGATGGTCATTATCCCATTATGAAACTTGTATCCCTTTAGGGTTAAATTTCCCTTTATTGATAACTTTAGAACTTGTCAAAGTAGAGAAAGAACTCAAAGAAATTAGCTGTAAGAAACAAGAATGGGTTTTAAATCTCAGTGGAGTTTGAAACAAGAATGGGTTTTAAATTGTGGTTAGAATGATTTTGTATGTATGAAACCGCATGAAATGATTATATATAATAATTATGTTAACTTATTTCCAAGGTGGGCATTTGGTCTAGTGGTATGATTCTCGCTTTGGGTGCGAGAGGTCCCGAGTTCGATTCTCGGAATGCCCCTTTTCTTTCTATTTCTTTTCAACCTTTTTTAAAAAATTTGACTGAAATAGTACCGTCACTTTAGCATATACCTCTCGAGGTTTTTCACCTTTTTTTTTTTAATATTTGACTGAAATAGTATAGAGTGCACCGTTACTTTAGCATACCTCTCTAGGTATTAGAGAGTGGAAAACAGGATAAAGAGGCATTCCGATAATTGAACTCGGGACCTCCCTAAGCGAGAATCATACCACTAGACCAAATACCCTTTGACGTTTGAGTTTTATAAATTATATATGTATAATGAATTATAATCTTCAGGGTCATACATAAAATTTGTAATTATAGACGTTTCACATCGCAAATTGATTAAAAACTATTAAATATTCAACTGCCAACCTAATTAATTTAAATGTTTAAAAACTTAAAATCAATAGTTAGTTAGCTGGTTGTTTTTTTTTTTTTTTATGCGAAAGTCATTTGCAATCCGTTAGTATGATTGAGTTGGAGGCTATGATCCCTATCTAACCATATATTCTTTTTCTTCTACAGTTTATATTTGTTTGTAAAGTAGAGAAAAAATATTGTTCTTTATGATTTTGCAATCCGTTAGTATGATTGAGTTGGAGGCTATGATCCTTATCTAACCATATATTCTTTTTCTTCTACAGTTTATATTTGTTTGTAAAGTAGAGAAAAAATATTTTTCTTTATGATTTTATCAATAGTATTAGATAATATATAAATATGGATTAGATGCGAAAAATTCATTAATCATATACAAAATGTGCAAGAAAGCACCCTTATTATTTAATGATATCTTTGTCTCAAAGTAAATGTTTCTTTTGAGAACTGTGACTCACAATTAAAAGAGATATTCTTTTTAAAACAGAAGAAGTATTTGTATATAAATCCTATTTTTAAATTGGAACAAATTGGCTCCTAATTGTTAATTTTGACCAATTTTGTTTTTTATAAAAATCTCAAAATGCCCTTGCTGATGTAAGTAAGAAAAAATATAGCGTTAATTCTACCTACACCCCTTGACTTTTGCCAATATTTCATTTACACGCTATCTACGTTTCAATATTCTACCTACCTCCCCTGAACTTTTGATTTACGTATCAAGTTACTCCTTATCGTTAAGCCATTGACGGTTTGTCATTATGTCAACAGGAAAAAATAAGTACAGAGTCAGTTTTGCCCTTCCAATGACTAAAATGACATCTTTAGCCCCATTAACTAATGCAGAATAACAAAACTAGCCTTACATCACCACAAAAATTACATGTTCTCGCTAACATCACACGAGATATCTCTAACCCTTGTATCCACAAACCTCGGCAAATCTCACTGATGACGGTCACCACCACCGTCCAATCCATCCCAATCTGAAGAAAATTCTAATGGGTATCTCTCAAACACAATACATAAGGATGCAAAGGAGGAGAAGCAACGGCAAAGGTCGCCGCATCACCACCATCACAGACGGCAGCGGAGTGGCGGCAACACCATATCACTACCATCAATCATACGTAGTTTTAGCCTCCTCCTCCTTAATCTTCCTCTATTTTAACGCTCACCAACACTCCTGATCTTTCTAAAATCATAAATCAATCACCAATCGACCATCCGTTTCGCACTTCAATCAGGAGTCTCCAACAGCGTCTTCAAGCCTTAATTGTCTCTGCTTCGCTGGTGATGGGTACTACAAAGGCGAGCCGAAGTGTTGATCGACGACGTGGAGGGTAGTCGGACTGTGTATTGTTGGGATTTATATATCCTGGCATAGCAAATTCCTATTTGGATTAAAGTGACATAAGTTCATGACGTTTCTGAAATATTTATGTTTTTATACAATTGGTGAATTCAATGTATTATGTTTCGATTCATTATAGAATTGACAGTGTCCGCTTGATTACAAGAGATATTTATATATGTATGTGATGGCGATCAATACATGAATATAAATAGTAATCATAAATGGTTCATAGTCGGTAATTATGGATGGACTCATAATTAATTAAGACTTAAACTGGATCCGCGTTAGGTTGAGATATATTGCGAGAGCCGTCGTATGCAATTACTCCCTATCACCGTCATGGCATTTGACTCTTAAGTATGAGAAAATTATAGACTCTTTTATTAATTAATAATTACTTTGATTTATTCGGCGGATTCTTCGGGATCCTTAGACCGACACTTTGGGTAGTTATGTAATTAATAGTTAGAGGGTTATATTTTCAATATTTGCATCATTGCTACTTGTATTTATTTTGTATTGATTATGGTTGATCACAAAGTAAATTCGAAGGCCTTCGTATGTTTTTAGACAAAATGATTTATTATATATTTATTTATTTAGATTATTATTTTTGTCAAACAAATGTTTTTATTGTGATCGAGTCAGAAATAATCAATGGTATGAAAATAAATATATTAATTAAGTAGTCGGATTGATGGCTTTATTTATCCGATAACTAATTATGCATAGAGGGGTCAAAGTGCAATATTGACTTAGTGGTTATTTATTATTTAATTGGAGTTCAATTAATTTCTTTTAGTGGAGTAGAAATTAATTTATGAATTAATTGAATTGGGTCCATGGAAAAAGAGTCTATAATTTTCTCATGCTTAAGAGTCAAATGCCATGACGGTGATAGGGAGCAATTGCATACGACAGCTCTCGCAATATATCTCAACCTAACATGGATCCAGTTCAAGTCTTAATTAATTATGAGTCCATCCATAATTACCGACTATGAACCATTTATGATTACTATTTATATTCATGTATTGATCGCCATCACATACATATATAAATATCTCTTGTAATCAAGTGGACACTATCAATTCTATAATGAATCGAAACATAATACATTAAATTCACCAATTGTATAAAAACATAAATATTTCAGAAACGTCATGAACTTATGTCACTTTAATCCAAATAGGAATTTGCTATGCCAGGGCATATAAATCCCAACAGCTCCCACTTACCCTCATAGCCAATTCAAATTGCACCTTACACCAATGTTATCCAGATGATGATCAAAATTATTGATCAATGACACCTTTGATAATGGATCAACAAAGTTGTGTTCCAATGCAATGTTCTGGCTACAAGTACATTTTCTTGCCGGACAATATCATGTAGAACATGATACTTCCTCTCAGTGTATCTTGTTCCTCTATAGAACCTAAGGTCATTGGTTTGGACTAATTCTGCACTATTATCGCAACATAGCTTAATAGGCAGGCTAGTATACTCCACAACCTCTAAATCAGTGAGATCAAACCAATAGGCTTCTTTTGCCACCTTTAAGGCTGCAATGTATTCCACCTGCAGGTTTGAGTCAGCAGTTAAAATCTGCTTAACAATTTACCAACTGATTTCCCTTCCATTAAATGAACATACACTGAGTCATGAACCTCATAGTATCTACTTCTGATTGAAAATCAGAACTAGCATACCTAACTAGGACCATATCATCACATCCATAACTGAGTATGATATCCTTAGTCCTCCTTAGATACTTAATGATATTTTTCACAACAGACCAGTTATCAAGTCCAGGATTGGACTGATATCATCTGACTATCCCTACAATGTAGTGGATGTCCTATTTAGTATAGACCATGGCATATATGAGACTCTCATATGCCAAAGCATATAGTTTCAGTCTCATTTGCTCAATCTCCTCTGCTAGTCTTGGAAAACTACTTAATAGAGAGAGCAATCCATATCAATTAAGTAAGAACTCATTCTTTAAGTTATGCATACCAAACCTAGTCAAAACTTTATCATGTAGGATTATTAAGATAAGCCTATTTTCCTTTTAACCTAATCTTGCAAAAGCTTGATCTTAGGAATATAGCTTACATTTTGAGAATCCTTCATTTAAAAGTAACTGAACAACTACCTTTTTATTGATGACAAAAGTTCCACGTCATTATAAATGAGTAGGATGTCATCAATATATATAGAATTAGAAAAATAATGACATTCCCTTGTACACTCATGATTTATGCACTAAGAAATCTTCTGGTATCTTTTTGTAGATTAACTTGCCTTCCATAGGTATCACCCTACTAGAAAGTTCTACAAGATCCCAAAATTTATTAGAATACATAGATTCCAACTCTGATTTCATAGTAACTCGCCAAAACGATCTGTATCCATATCGGTTCACGCTTCCGTGTAGCTTACTGGGTCCAACTCATGTTTAACAGGAATGTCCATAACGGTCTCACCTAAAAATATGATTCTGTCGAATTGGATAATTATCCTCCCACTACATCAATGTACCGATGAAGGAATCTGTGTACTAGATGATGCTGACGCATCAAACGGGAATTCATCTATAATTCTAAATCTCTATACTTAGTATGTTCATATGTGGTACATCTGGTACTCTTACCATATTCTCTAACACTATGCTAGTAGGTATGTGATTCATAATATGATTCTCCTATAGATAAACAGTGAGTGTAAACAATCAAATTTTATCATTGAGATCATAAAATAATCCATCCTAGTGACATTTTAGAGTAGCTATCAAATCTATCATGCGTATGATTTGTTTCCAACTTACTTGTCCATATCAAGCGCACATGTGCAAAACTACCCCATATGTGCATGTGATTCAAACTAAGATTTAGTCAAAAACATAGCTCAACGGTATCCTTGAGACAGACTAATATGGAATGCAGTTCATAATGCGCATCGATGTCATTAACGCTAAACTCTTAAATGAAAGAGAT